CGGAGCGACGCGCCCCCCGAGGCCCTCGCCGAGCCGAGGCCCCGCCGCTGCGCATCCTGGGAGATGTAGTCCGAGTTGCGTCTAGCCGGAAGGCGGCGCCTGGCGGAGGAGGCCGGGAGCACGTGGGTTGGGGACCCGCGGAGGACGGCTGGTCCAGGCTTACCCAGGCGGGCAGGCACTCTGGGTCAGCCCTGAGGGAGGTGCTGTGGCCAGCTCCCTAGTAGGATGGGACTCAAGGGGCCGGGGGAGTGGAGGAGGGGCTGAGGCCGAGAGGGCCCAGGGGACTGGCGCTCTGCTGTGGAGGCATCTTCAGACCCAGGAAAGGGGCTGGCTGTGAAGAATGCGTCAGCACCACCCAGAGAAGAGAAGAGAAGGGGCTTGGCGCGCCTTCGGATTAAAAAAATAAAAAGTAATAAGAAAGGGAGGCTCTCCGGACCACCCAATAAGCAACCAGGAAACCATATACCATGGACAGTGCTCCGGGAATTTCATACAGTTTTTTGGAAGCAACTGCTCTTTATGTGTAATGAGAACACGAGTAGTTCACATTTAAGTGCTAGAACCAGTACTTCGCATACCAGGTTCAGTTCTCTCCACAACTCCGAGGAGATGAAGAAACCGAGGGCAGGAAAGTTGAGCTCTCCTCCCTGGACAAACAGCTGGGGCGCCAGATCCTAGCCTCAGATCTCATCTGCTGCAGGCCCTGCCCCTCACACCTCCAATTGTCATTTCATTAGCTCCTGCCAGATACCCCAGCAAAGAAGAAAAAAAAAATTCAAAGCAAAAATACCTCCCTACATGTGTTCAAATGGAGAAAACTGCTGAGGTCTGAGAAGGTGGATGAAGGCTTCCCCGAGGAGGAGAAACTTGATCTGAGCTAGAGGAATAGAGAGCCTTTGGTGTTGGGGCGTGTGTGTGTGTGTGTGTGTGTGTGTGTGTGTGTGTGTCTGGGGGGATCAATTAACCGGTAAACACAGACTAGTCCTTCAACAAATCTGTATCAAGAAAGTGTTTGAAGAACAGCAAGTAATTTGCTTTAGGTTTGAGGGCATATATGTGGGGTGAAGAGAAAAGGGATGCAGTTGGAAAAAGACAAGTTGGGAGCAGGAGACTCTTACAGGAGTTTGGACATTATCCTAAGTGCAATATGAAACCATAATGGGGTTTCAAGTGGGCAGTGATGGTTGCATTTGCATTGTAGAAAAATCTGTCTGCAGTAGGGAGGAAAACAAAGCGAAGGGAAGAATAGAAAGGAGCGGGAGACATTTGGAAGAAGGAAACAGGAAACTAAAATAAAGTAACTTATTCCAGTCCTGTGCCTGGCATGTGAAATACCTTAACCTGGTGCTAGCTAGAGGTTTCACTGGTAGAAGGTAGGGGCTGGGAGGTTTAAGAGCAAGAATTCTAGCATGAGGTTTTGTTTCAAAACTCGTTTATGCCTCTTTCTAGCTATGAGCACTTGGCTTCTTCTCAAACTCACTTTGCTAAAATAAAAACAAAACAAAACAAGAAGAAAGAAAACAGTAATTCCTCCTGTGCAGGAGAAGCTGAGTTGGTTCCTAAGTAGGACTTGTGCCAGAAGTCCCAACTTGGTCAGTGTGAGCTTTCTTCCTGCTTCTAATGCTAGGCTCCTCCTCCTCACCCCTGGGGGTTCCCGTGGCAGAGAAAGGATTCAGGAATCACCAAGAAAGCCTCCTTAACACACTTCCCAAACACTACCTAGGATAGACGAACTGAGGTAGGCCCTAGAGAGAGGTGGGGACATTTCTGGCTCTCTATTCCTCTAGCTCAGATCAAGTTTCTCCTCCTTGGGGAAGCCTTCATCCACCTTCTCAGACCTCAGCACTTTTCTCCATTTGAACACAAGTAGGGAGATATTTTTGCTTTGATTTTTTTCTTCTTCTTTGCTGGGGTATCTGGCAGGAGTTAATAAAATGACAATTGGAGGTGTGAGGGGTAGGGCCTGCAGCAGGTCCTGTCTGAGGCTAGGATCTGGTGCCCCAGCTGTCTGTCCAGGGAGGAGAGCTCACTGATGGCAGTGCAGGATAGCTTAGAACCAAGTGGGGAGATGAATCTTTGGGAACAGTTACCGAAAGGTTCTTCTCTGAGGGATAAGAATAAGATATACTTTGGGGTCTGGCAGGTGACATGGTGGTTAGAGGCACTGGATTCCCACATTGCTGACCACAGTTTGAGTCCTGGATCTGGTGGCTTGCTTTCTTCCTTTTCCTTTTTCTCTCCATCTGTCTCTCTCTGGTCAAATTTTAAAATAATAATAACAAATGGAATTTAAAAAATAAATAATTCTTTTTAAAAAATGAATAATGGGGGGCTGGCAGATGGCATGGTGGTTAAGGGCACTGGACTCCCACATGGCCAACTTCGGTTCAAGTCCTGGAACTAGTGGCTTGCTTCCTCACTTTCTCTCTCTCTCTTTCTCACTCTATCTCTCTCTGGTCAAATTAAAATAAATAAAGAAAAGTTAAAATAAAATAATTCTTTAAAACAAAACAAAACAAAAAAGAGGGGCCGGCAGGTGACATGGTAGTTAAGGGCACTGGACTCCCATATAGCTGACTGCAGTTTGAGTACCAGACCTGATGGCTTGCTTTCTCTCTCTCTCTTTCTCTCTCTCTCTTTCTCTCTCACTTTGTCCCTCCTCTGGTCAAATGAAAAGTAAATAAATAAATTAAATAATTCATTAAAAAAAAAAAGAATAAGACATACAGAGGCCATCAGGTGGTGTGGTGGTTAAAGTGCAGGATCCTACACAGCCAACAGCATGGTTTGAGTCCCAGATCTGGTGCTTGAGAAACACACCAGACCTTGATTGTGTGTGTACCTAAAATCCTGGGAGGAGAATGGGAGAGAATGGATTGTGGTGTGGCCATCCTCCCTGAGGAGTAATTTCCCACTTTCCCTCTGTCTCTTTCCAGCTAAGGCATGTATGTGCCCTATAGCAAAAATCTAAACTAAACTGGGACCAGCAGTTAGCGTAATGGCTATGTCGCTGGACTCCCATGTAGTCGACCGCAGTTCATGCCCCGGACCCGGTGGCTTAAAACTCACGCCAGGCGCGTGTGCATGCGTGCCCAAGATCCCAAGAGGAGAATGGAGAAGGGATTGCAGCCTGGCCATCCCCCCTGGGGGGTGATTTCTCGCTTTCTGTCTCTCTGTCTCTCTCTCTCTCTGTCTGGCGAGCACATGCGCCCTATGGCAAAAACCTCTCAAAAAAAAAAAAACTAAACTAAATTAAACTAAATAAGACATACAGGAACCAACCCTGGGAGAGGTCTGCAGATTCAAGTGAGAACACCCAAAGCCCAGGAAAAGGGGAATGAGCATCCTTGGCCACCTAGCAACTCACATCCATGTCAAATTAAACAATGAACAATTTCAAGTGTTTCAGCCTGGGGCCAGCTGGTGACATGGTAGTTAAAGGCACTGGACTCCCACATGGCTAGCTATGGTTCAAGGCCCAGACCTGGTGATTTGATTTCTCATTTTTCCTCTTTCTCTCTCTCTGGTCAAATTAAATAAAGTTAAATAGGGACCAGCAATTAGCGTAATGGCTATGTTGCTGGACTCCCACGTAGTCGACCGCGGTTCACGTCCTGGACCCGGTGGCTT